ATGACAGAAATTTGATTTCTATGCTGCTAGGCAAATCCAGCGGGTTAACACCTGTCGAGGTGGTAGAAATTTAATTTCTATGCTGCTTGGCAACCCCAGCGACAGCAAAACTACTTTTAGTGCCGCTCGTACTTTTACTGCCGCTCAACCATTCACTTGTCCTCGAGCTTCCCCATTCGTTTGGAGAAAAAATAGCGTGTTGCATACGGAGTAGAAGCACTTTTTTGTGCTTCAGCAGTATTGCAAGTCTCACTACGTTCGGCTCGCAAACCTACTGCTTCAGCACAAAAAAGAAAAGCTTCTACTCCTAATACAACAATATACTATTTTTCGCCTAAAGGGGTTGTACTAGAAAAATGCTTTCGGTGTTTATGCATGTTTGTCGGAGGTGTACACAAAATAATATTTGAACCATTCACATGAAGGGCATTGTGTGCGAGAAAATTTAAAAAAAAGGCATTTTTTTTCAAATTTAATTTTTTTTGGGGTGGTTCCAGGTAGAAAATAGGGGTGCATTATACGAATTTTTCAATATCATTTCTACACCAATAATCCCTGAAAATTTGGACAGCCTAGCATTAGCCCTTCAGATGATATTGTTTAAATTTCAACATCCTGTATATCTTAAACGGGTAACTGTTTTTAAATGAAACATTTACCAAAAAATCTGTTAATTATTTATGAGTATTTGCTGTATGGTTTGTGGTGGATTCGCTTTACTGTTCAGTAAAAAAAAATAATTTCCAAAACATCTTTTTTCAAAGTCATTCAACTTTAGAGCGCCACCCCGGATAAAGGGTAGATGATAGACATAATATGCTGTCACTGGATACATTGTACAGAATTTAGTCCTCTTCAATTTACCATTGAAGGACTTTAGTCCTCTTCAATTTACTATTGAAGGACTTTTTTGTAAAACGAAGCGGATGCGCTAGGTTTCGGAAAAACCACAAAAAACTACCTTTAGGGGGATAAAGGGGGATGTTCCAGGGTGAAATTTTGTTGGAAAAAGTTGGACCCATAATAAGCAGCCCTTGTTCTACCAGAAAAAAAAATAAAACAGAACTTGTGTCGAGTTTGCGAGGTTCAACCTCTCTTTCCTGGCCTATATCGTTATATTAGCGATAATGAATCTATACAGATCCTGTAAAGTTCTTTGATAACAATATTCACTGTTAGAGAAAATGTATTATCACTTTATTGAGTCTTTACTTGATTGATACCTACTGATATTTCTACATTTACCTATAGCATATACCAAGTAGCGGTAAGTTACAGACCAAATAACGTATAAGTATAGATTCTGAGCAGTTTAAAAAACTGTTAAAAGATTTTTGCTGGAAAAATACCTAGGTACGTGATTGAATATCTAACTTTTCATTGTTACCCTACTCCCAAATATTTCTTGTCGATGTTTGATATCCTCTAGGAGTTTCAGCTCGCGCTTTCGCACAACGATTACAATTTTTCTTTTCAGTTTCTGGCATTATATTCAATTGCCTAATTATTACCCGTGAATATAATATTAAATAAACAAGGGCTAGGTGGTGCAGAGAGTCAAGCCACTACACTACAACTACAACTACAGCAGATGTGGAGGTCGTAGGTTCGCGTCCCGCCACAGGAACAACCCACCCTATCAATCGTACCAATTTTAAAAAGAAACAATGACACAATGTTGATAGAGAATGTCAAAAGATGAATGTGGAACCGTAATACATAATTCAAAGAAATCGGCTCAAAGACAAAAAAGTTATAGACAATTTAATGAAGCGGCGTCGAATCGCCACAAAATGGTGAAATTTCAAGGAAAAGTTAAGAGAAAAAAGTTGGTTTTGGCATCCCCTCTACAAAATGGCTATCTTGAAATTTCGAAATTTTGAATTTGGTTTTTGGCCCTATACCTATAACACAGGAAACTCTGAAAATGACGACAATCGAAACTTCAACCGGTCTTAACTCCGTAACGATGAGTCGTAGAGAAAAAATTTTCAGGAGCAGATTGTAGACCTCGTCGAGATCTACAAAAAAGCTTGCCGAGTCTTACCTCTCCGACTTACCATTTCCGAGATATTTCACTTGAAAGTTTTAAAATCATTGGGTTTTCCCAATTTCCCGGATTTCCTTTCACTACGTTCAGAGAAATGTCGGAACCCACTTTTCCCCCCTCAATTTCTTGTTTTTCCAGGAGTTTCTCTACCTCATGAAATCAAAAATAGAAATTTTCCGAATTTTGGAAAAACGCAAATTCCACTGTATAGAGGAGGTCAAAACAAGCAGAAACTTTATTTGGAATTTTCCCATAGGACGTCTCTTAAGCCCGGAAAAAAATTAAAAAGAAAATTAATAGGGATGAGGCTTTTCCAGCCTGACATGATCTTATTAAATGGGCCATAACTCTGGAACGCCTGGATCGATTTCAATGAATCATGTTTCATTCGATAAAGGATAAAATTGCTCACAGAATAGTTTTATTCAGAATCATCCCGTTTCTGAGTTATGAGCTTTCAAAGTTAAATTTTTCTCAAAAATTAGCCTCGGCTTTGTTTCAGGTGGAGTTTCATCTACCAGGACAACTACTAGTGTCCTTTTGTTCATTTATTATTGTTAGTTATGATTATGGAAGAAAATGAACAATAGAACTTTTTTTTTCTTATTATTTTCCCTTCCAATAATGCAGCGAATTGAGGCAGTGACATGTTTATAAAAAAACAGATTTCCTAGAAAGTTTCTACTTTGAAGGCTGATAACGCAAAAACTGGACAACTATCGACAACTATTTTGTGTCTTAATGGTTCTTAGGGATCCCCCAAACTCCATACACTAACTTATTCTGAGATTTGGAGCCGGAATCCATGAAAAATGGGCACTCAGAAAAATTGAAAAATTGATAAATCACCCCAAATTGCTTAACACAATGTTATTTCTGGAACTATAAGCTCAAAGGAGCTGAAATTTCCAGGGATTGTAGTCCTCTACTGGAATAGGAATCGCTGAAAATTTCAGTTTTCTATCTATAATAGAAAAAAAATTATGACCTTTCAGTTTTCGAAAATCTAAATCATAAGGCTACCTCAGTACTCAACGATGAAATTTCAAAATTATTCTGAGATTTGGAGTCGGATTCTATGAAAACTGGGCACTCAGAAAAATTGAAAAATTGATGAATCACCCTATCAAATTGTTTAACATGATGTTATTTCTGGAACTACATAAGTCCAAATGAACTGAAATTTTCAGGGATTGTAGTCCTCTACTGCCGTACCGATTTTGGAAAAAAAGGACACAATGTTGATAAAGAAAGTAATAATCACCTGTCAAAAGATGAATGTGGAACTCTATCCAAAATCTTCCGAAAAACAATAAAAACTCAATTTGAAGCAAAGTTTTTCATATTTTCAATATATAAGTACCCTGAAACCGTACCGATTTTGAAAAAAAATGGACATAATGTTGATAGAGAAAGTATTAATCACCTAGGTGAGGGAGGAAATTTTAGTTGCCTATGCCAAGTCCAAGTGTGGTAGGTAGACAAATATAGACTTCTCAACCAACCAACCAAACCAGCTCAACAATTTTCTTATCTAAAACGAAACAGTTTCAGTTTTTCTCTCCCACATATCAAGATAAATTCAAAATTGAAACATTTTATTGTCTAAATTAAAGCCGGAGAGATTCAAGAAAATTAAAGTGGGAATTGCCTGATACCATTACATTGTAAGCGCTTATTAAATTATTAACCTTAATTAAATAAATTTGCAATTTTCTCAGTCTAGCAAATCTGACTGCCCGTCCGCTCGAATAGAAACAGACAGAGAGAGAGAGTAAGTAGGTGACGTTTTGCATTTGCAAGCTGCACGTCCAAATTACTATATACTTTGTTGAAGCTCTTTCAAAAGACATTATCTTCGGGAGGCCTTAGCAACAGGCCTACGTGAGCAATCTCGGGTATACTTGAGAGGAACCTGACACCATACCATAAAGCCAGAAGAATACGGACCTTTTTTTAGATAATAAATCATTTTTGAAGATTTTAATCTGTTAAAACAACACTGTATATTGAGGAAATGTACTAAAGAATGTAATTTTTTTTAAACATGATTTACATCCAATAGCTACTTGTTAAATTTACTATATAGGTACAATAATAGAATGAAAATGATATGCATATATTTTAAATAAGTGAAAAAGACAGTTGGATGTGGATGATATCATAGGAAGCAATTTTTTACGTGACACTTAAGTAACATGCTATTCCGATAATAATTATTTCCCAGACTTCATTCCAATTTTAACGAAACTTTCCTCCATTCCTGGAACTTTAAGATTTCCTGAAATAATCTAATTTTAAGTAATTTGTTAAAATACACAATAATTCTTATGCAACGACTGATGTATATTTTGCAGTACTACAGCACTTTGAGCAAATGTTTGATATTAGTGTACGTTTTCTGATTTTTCCAGTTTCAATTTTGTCTTATTTCCACATTAACATTTTTCAGTAGTTTGGTATTTGAACTGTTCTAACAATAAATTTCAAGTTCAAAGTTTGGTTAAGCTCAAGTAGACAATGTTCTAAATTTCTTCTTTTTGAAAGTATAGTTATTATGGGTATCATGCTCCTCTATAATTTTGATTATTTTATCATTTAGTCCATATTTTCAAGTAGGTAATAACGGAAAAACACTTAACCCTTCCCAAAAGATAAGAAATGAATCACCAGCCTTGAGACCACCTAATGTCTAGTCAGTCTCCCAAAAAAATCAAATAAAAAGCGACGCCAGTCAGGTAGTACGATTTCCGTTTGAGACGTAAATCAAACCGATTTAGTGATACAACGCTATTACAAATGACAAAAAGGTGTTACCAGGAAAGCCTCCGGGGATCACAAACACCATTGGTCCATCGGAGAGCGCACCGAATTAGATGACGCAACACGTTTCATTCATTAAAGAGCGTACCGGGCCGCTCGGAGAACTCATTTTACTAGTGACCACCGTTCTGGCAAGATCACTTTTCTTGTCTAACCATCATCATTATCACTACGGTGACCATTCCCGATCTTCATCTTTTCCATTGTCGACTAAATGTTTTTTCATTTTAACCATCGGTGCTCCACGATTATTTTTGGTTCTTCAACGGTGCTCAGGTTCAATACAGACAATTTTTTTAATTGGATCGTCACGTGACAGTTAAAACTTTAACTATTGTTTTTTTTTTACTCGAATTTTGAGCGGTATTTATTTATTTATTATTTTATATCCAGTTTTAATTAGAAATCAGATGGCCAACGTTAAGCAGAAAATGGTAAGTTTGAATTATTTTTTTATTATTTATTTTTTCTTTATTTACTTAGACCAATTATTAGTTAGAAAATTGATTTATTGCATCATCATGTTGATGGATATTATTAATTTTCTATTCTTAGAAGAAATTTTAGGTTTGCTCTAACAATAATTCATTAGGTCGAAAGCTCAAAATGATTCAGCAAATTTCAATTATTGGTGCCAATAGGTTTAACTTGTTAGAACAAAGCAAATATTTCATTCTTTCACTCAATCATATTTTGTATTAACTCGAAACTAGTCCCAGTACCTGTTAAATCAAAAAGTTAATAACCCGTCACTAATGATAATTTAATTAAAGCATAATTATTCAGCAGTTGGCGTATAGAAAACGTTTAAGTAAGAATTGTCTAGAAAAAAACTAAACTAGATTTGACTGTTCTTCATGGAAACTGAAAGTGGCTAACGGCTAACTCAAAAAAAAAACGTGTTCAGTTTAGACTTGTTGAAACATGCTTCAACAAGTCAAAACCCGAGTTCAAAGAAGTTAGATAACCATTGATAAAGTGATTTTGAAGACCCTGCCAGTATTCAAAATTAACTATTTGAGCTTGAGATTTGAAATAGAATTTTTTTGGGTTAATTTTTCAAGAATTTTTTTGAACAATTATAGAAAGAAGCTAGCACGCTTTATAAGAATTTACAACATTAAATGCTATTCAAATATGTAATAATTACTTGGAATTGAAGTGCAAATTTACTTTCTGTAATTTATCTAGATTGTATTTAAACAACGAATCTTTCATTAAATAGTCCTTAGTCTAAAAAACGTGCAAAAAAGTCAACATCAAAAAAAAAAGTAATACCTAATTTACTTACAAGTAAATTACCTACCCAACCGCATAAATTCAAAAATTCACAAAAAAAAGTGCTACCCAACTACCAATCAACAAAATGGCATTTTAATTGATTCATTATAGATTTTACCGAGGTCAATTAACCTTAAACAAATTAATACTTAATTAAAAATTATGGTAAATTTCCACCAAATATTCCCCAAAATCAATATTTTTGCGTCCGCAATTGAAAGTTGCATTTTGCCAATACAAAAATCGAAATTCGAACGTTGGACATGATCCAAATCGAATAAATTTGCACGTTTCTCACAGGTGTTGTAACCTAATCGACCTGGGATACTTTTTAACACCGCGCGGGTCGGTTAAATTTCCATTGCAAGCAATTATTGCTCCTGGCCACAGTCATTGAATAGCCAACAAGCTATGAGAAATAGAAGGTTTTTTTTTTTTTTTAGTTTCTGTTTCTGTTTAAGTATCAGGCTGCATTTAGTAATTGAGCAACTTTGTGTTACAACAAACATGTCAAGGGCCTTAAATAAGATAACGAATTCCCATTAATAGAAACCTTCCTCTTGATAAACAATGAATGAGAATTTTTGATGAGATCTCCAGTCGTAAGAAAATCGTTTCTCGTTGCCATGAGACCATCCTAGACTGAGTGGTACCAGCAGAGAGCCGGTCGCGTTCCGTGCCAATTGCCGTGAAGGTGACCCGCCTAATTTACTACTCACCCGATGACAGTGAAATATTTCAGACACTTGGAGAGCCAATTTAGATGCTTAGCAACGCAAGATCGAGCCCAGGAGAGAGCTAGCTAATGGTCTTTTTTAGGGGGCTCGTCTCTCGTGACTTAGTCATTTGCGGGTAACAAGTCTTTTGTTATACGTTTGATACATTTTCTACTTACTTGGCTGGTGCTTCTCATTCGGTGTGCCGTCGTTGTCCATTGTAGAGCCGATTTCTAGCTCCACTCCTTGGAGAGTCAATCAATACGATACTATCATTCCTCAGATTCTGAAAAAAAAATCACTTGAGCTACTTTATGTAATTGAAGTAGTATTTAATTCCCGATGCTATGTTTAACCTAGAAAAAGCAAATAAAAATAGTAACCACCGCATTTTTATCACTGCTGGTTGATTTTGAGTCCTGTTGCCCCATGGCAACAGGCCGGAGAGTATATAGGGTCACGTGTGGTACCGTCGGTTGGGGACCAATGGCTCTTTAATAGCCGCTCTAATTGGGTTCGTGCACGAAACGGTATTGGTTTTTCTCATTAGGATAATTAGAGGTGCGGCGTATGCACAGCACAGACAGAAATGCATTATTTACCTACTATTTCTTGTGTCGTGCGGTTCCCATAGACCAGGGCCTCGCTGATGGTATTATTCGACTTAACGATGGACGTTTTTACGATTACTTTTGAAAGAAATACAGTCTCTTCATATTTACTTTTAGATTTTTATGCCATTATGTAGTAGTTTTATTGTATAAATTTTCTCTTGTACCAATAAGAGTTGAAACATGAAATTTATTATTACTTATCACAAAATCCAAGATCTTGTGTATGTGTATATGTGTGAGGGAGGTGTCAGTTGCACCGCGACCAAGAATGATCTATTGTACCCCTCCTTCTGCTGCTAAGTTCGGGTTTCCTGCTCAAAGCAGCCCCTCCAGTCCTAGGTCCCTAAGGAACTTTAGAATATCTAGCGGTTCCAAGGCTGGAATGTCTTCCAACTGTATAAGGGCACTTTTCAGGTTCGTCATCCTCGAGCGACTGACTAACAGCATCGCAGTTCAGTAGAAAATGGTGAGGTGCCTCTTCTCCGTCTTCACAGAATCTGCAGGTGCCACCTTCTTCTAACCCCAACTTCTGTAGGTGTTTCTTGAGTCTGCAATGTCCCGAAAGAAACCCGGTTAGAGGCTTGAGACTTTTCTTGTTAAGGTTGACCAGCAGTTCTGATCTTTTTTGGTTGAAGTTGCACAATAAATCTTTGGCCTGTCGTAGTCCTGGCTGTTCTAGCCATTGTTTGTTCCTTAGCCGGTTTTCTTCTTTTTTGAGAATTTCTTTAAGGTGCGTATTTCCGACGCCGCAAAATAGTTTTGATCCAGTGAAGAGAGTAGACGCTCACGTTCTCATGACACTTATGTGTCCGGGTACCCAGAGGACGGTTACTTTATTTTGTTTTCCTAGCTCATTTAGTTTCTGTAGACATTCCCATACTGTCTTAGAATTGATGACCGGGGATCTCAATGCTTTGATAGCTGCTTGGCTGTCAGATATTATCACAATCTCCCGTTTCCGATAACTTCTGTTCAGGTTGAACTGCACGCATCTTCCGATCGCATAAAATTCCGCTCGAAATATGCCTGATGATTTCCCCATTGGCTCCGAGTATCTGGTCCGTGGCCCGAATAATCTGGCTCCAGTTTTCTCAGCAGTTTTGAACCGTGTGTGTACCATTTGATGGTGTTTGCTTTAAGGGATTGGATAGATTCCATGATCCATCAGTTTTTTGTACTCAGTTCGATGAATAAGTTTTTCTCGAAACTGAATTTATCAACAATCACGCCTTTTGGTAGATCCATGAGGTGTGCACAGTTTGGGAGAGGAAAAGTTCTGCCAAGGTGCGTTTCCCTCTGTAAACCTATCTTCTCCAATCTTAGACATGATCCACTGGAAACCCGCTTCACTATTAAGTGAAGTGGTGTGAGGCCTAGAATGACGTCTAGTGCCGCGATTGGGCATGATCACATTGCGCCTGTTATACAGAGTTGTGAGTCTTTGCACTTCTCCTGGGGTTTTCCTAGCTGGGTTTGGCTATACCAGGCTACCGCTCCCTAGATGATATTAGGTCTCAGTATCGTGGTATACATCCATCTTAGGATTGATGGGTTACAACCCCATGTTTTACTCGCAATGTTTTTGCAGACCATGAGTGCTGAAATTGCTTTGTTTTTTGTGTTCTCTTCATGTCGGTTCCAGAGAAGTTTCGAATCTAAGATTATTCCTAGGAATCCAACTTCTTTTTTCCAATCAAGTCTGCTTCCATCGAGGCGAATGCGAATGTTTCTCAGGTTTGGGAGTTTCGTTCTTTTTGTAAATGTTACCAGTATGGTTTTTGCTGAGTTTAGATTCAGCCCCACTGTCTGACACCATTCCTTCGTAGTTCGAAGTGCTTTTTCTATAAGATCGCATTCCGTTGATCTAAGATCTTCCTAGACATTGTAAATTTATGGTTTTTTCAAAAAATTTCATTAGGGGAGGCTGATTTTTTCAGGTCTGATTGGAGACTGAATCCTTATGAGTATTAAGCCAAAAAATGACACTCGAAAGCCTTGTGCGTTTGGCCCTATGTTTCTTATTTAATTTTTTCGACAAAACGACCTCTATTAAAGTTGTAGATAACATTCTGATCAACTTTTCTCCTAGCTATTTTAGTTAAGGCACTGCGGTCATTTTAGTGCTTCATATAGAGTATCATTCTAACAGCACAATTCTGGAGTTCTTTGTCTAGTTTATTTTTGAACGCGTTTACCTCGGCGTTTACAATTGGTGCTGACACTGTCTGCTTTTCAGGGTGTTCCATGTTTGAATAGACAACTCTGTTACTCAGAAAGTTTCTTCTGGCGGTTTCTTCTTTTTCGAGTTTCTTAGAGTGCCTATGAAGATGAAGATAGTTTTGGTTTTGTTCAATGATTTCTCTGATATGGCAATTGTAGTAGTTACTGGTTATTTTGTATGTTTCAATTAAGTCTTATCTCCTCTAAAGTCGTTAGTTTTAGTTTTGTCAGTCTCTCTGTGAATGGAAGGCCTCATAGTTCTGGTGGTATTTTTGTAACTCGTTTTTGACAGTTTTTGTATCTCCTCTAAAACTTCAATATCTTTGACATAGTAGTGATTCCACACTGATAAAGCATACCTATTCAAGTTTTAGTCGTATGTAACATTTATACAGTTTGCCTATCATTTCTATCAAATGGTCTTCAAAGACTTGTTTAATGAGATACATAAAAGAATTGTCATTTTTTCTCCATTTCAGGTTTGAACTTATCATGATTCCTAGGTCATTTTGATTTGTCACAGATTGTAATGCCACATTGTGTATTCTTCGTTTGGATTGTTTGGGCCGATTTTTAAGACCGGTACATTTGGACTCATTCAATTTCATTCCCCAATCTGTAGATCATTCTTCAGCAGTTTTCAGGTCAGTCCTCAACTGCCCTGCATGTAGTACCGGATTTGTATAAAGCTTTTCATAATCTGCGAAGTTTTTCATCTTAGATTCAATGAGACCGGCAAGATCAAACAAATATTACGTGAAAAACAAAGGGTCCGTGACCCAACCTTGTACAACTCCGCTACTAACAAGATGTTGATTTGACAGTACAACAATTACTCTAACATTATATAATCTCTCATGCAGTAGATCCTCTATAGTCAGGGGCCAATATGTAATCCGCTTGCAAAAAAGTGAGACAAGTATGAGTCATACACCATTTGTTTTTAGATAAATTAGCTGATTCAAATTTTTTTTAGTACCAAGCCTTTATGTATGTCAGGAGGGAGAACAACCCCTATTAGAGATTAAGGGGTAGTAAATAAGTAATACCCTTATATGTTCATGTAATGACCCTTTTTTGCATACGATAAGTGTCATAATGTTTTCCTACGACTGCCTCTGAAAATGGAGTTTTTCGCACGCTAGGCAACCTCTGAAATTAGAGTTTTTCGCAGAGCGTGCGAAAAAGTTTTTCACATGCATTTTAGCGTGCGAAAAAGTTTTTCACACGCTCCTCAGCGTGCGAAAAAGTTTTCCACACGCTTCAAGTTTTCTAACAAATGAAAATTACATATTTGGTTGTTTTATTATGCAGCTGTAGGAAAAGCATTGTAAAAAACTCGTTTGAAAACCTTTTTTCACACTTGCTCGACTTGTGGAACTCGCCTACGGCTCGGTCTAACAAACTGTCTCGCCGTGCGAAAAAAGTCGTTTTCAAAACTTGTTGTTTAAATAACTATTACAATAGTATATTACATACTGAGGTGGTGTTTCGTTACTGTCGAGAGATTTTTTAGACCGAGGCGCAGCCGAGGTCTAACTAAAATCTCAAGACAGTAATGAAACTTTCAACCGAGGTATGTTTACTATTTTATTTACAATCATTCGAATTTTGTAATTTTTATTGGAATGAAAACTAAAAAAATGCTATTTTCAACAATTTAATTTACTTTCGGCCCACGGGAAGAAAGTAAACTTTCGACCCGTGGGTGGAAAGTAAAAGTCAAAAAATACATTAAATTTTAACAAATTTCATTTACTTTCGACCCATGGGTGGAAAGTAAAAGTCAAAAAAGTGACATTTTCATACTTTTTGAAAGGCAAAAAAGCCAACATAACATTATGATTGTAAATGGAATAGTTTCCAAGGATGTAGAAACTGATTTTATTTACAATCATACATGTAACGTTGACTTTACTGACTTTTAAAAAGGTTGAAAATGTCACTTTTTTGACTTTTACTTTTGGCTCACGGGTCGAAAGTTTACTTTCCTCCCGTGGGCCGAAAGTAAATGAAATTGTTAATTATTGTATTTTTCTAGTTTTAATTGAAAAAAAAAATTTCAACATTCGAATGATTGTAAATAAAATAGTATACATACCTCTTTATTTCAAATTTTTTGTATTCAATATGCGTGTCGATTTCATATAAGTCCAAATCAGAATCTTCCAGTGGATCCTCATAATTACTGTCATTAAATGAAGTAACATTATCGCAATTGGCCGTGTCTCCAGAACTTTCGCACATTTCTGTGCAAAACAATCCGGCGGTTCGTATTTGCCATTTTCCATTTTCCAGTCATAATCATCCGGTTATAGAAAGTTTGGATGAGCTAATGTATCACGACACCACTCCATACATTGATAATGACATCGCCTTAGGGCTCCTAAAGTTGGCGGTAAGGCATCGGAACTTAATTTTTTTGAAAATGTCTACCATCTCAACTCAGACA